TTTTTTCTTCTTATTTATTTTCAATTAATTATTATAACTAATGTTTTATTAAATTTGACCAAAAAATTGGCACCCAAAAATTTATAAAAAAATTTTAAAAAATATATTTGACGACAAATTTTAAAAAATTACCGAGGATTTTATCACGAATTGTACGTTTTTTTGTAGTATTTAATATATTGGTTAAAAATAAATAATTAAACATAAAATATTATAAAAATAATCCAGATATTAAAATAAATATATTATTATTACTTTCTTGAAATATAATAATGAGTTAGTAAAAAAATTATCTAACAATATGATATTAATAGTATAATAAAAAAAGAGAATGGAAGAATAAAAATCAAGTTTAAAAATAACTAACTTACATAAAAGATTAAGAAGAGAAATTAATAATTATTTAAAGGATTAATAATAGTATTTAAGTATATTTTTTATTTACTTAATTTGTGAATTCATGGTTTTTAATTTATTTTTACTTTCTTATTTAATATATTTGTTTTTGCTAATAAAAATCATTAAATAAAATATACTATTGTAGCATTCGGTATACCACTCTAGGGTAAAATCTGAAAGGGAGTCCAGGGTGCATTCTTTTCCATCTGAAGTTTGTATCATATCAAAACACCTAAGAGCATTGCAAAAGAATTTCTTCCGGAAATTTTTTATTAATTAAAATATTATTCTAACACGGCTCTCGTAAAAACAAAAAGGTCATACATATAAAAGAAATTCTTCAATTTTAAGGAACTTTTAGATATATATAAACAAGAGGAACATTAGTTTTACTCAATAGAATCTAAAATGTCAAAATGTGCATAGTGTGCAGATATACTGATAAAAAGAGCTCTGAAAGAAGCATTGATATTTGTGAGATTGATCCTATGGATGCTGTCAACAAGATTGGGCACTTTGTTGCTGTGTGGGACTCTCTGTCTCAGTAAGAAATGGCCTTACATCCACAACTTCTCAAATATTTCTTTGGCCAACAGAGAAAAGGTTCTGCAGAAATGGTTTAAGCATCGCTTCCTCACACCTGTTAGACTTGCATTCCTTTACGTCAAAGTTCTGTGCCTCTTTGTTTTCTTCTCTCAGGTCATGCCACTTTCTTCATCTACAACTTCTCATTCATCATCATATCTCTTTCCTCTCTGTTACTAATTGTGTGAGCAATGGAATATTCCCCTGTGTGCAGTGTGATGAGAAGGGTGAAAACCCAGCATGGGAAGCTATAGGATATAAGGTTGACACTGATGGGATCACAAGCAAGGTTCAGAAAGAGAGGCCTCTTGAAAAGGGAATAGTGGAAGCTGCGAATGAGAGTGATTGGAGCCTGCCTAAGTCTCTTGCTGAGAAAGGTCTTGAAGTTTCTATGGATGCTGAAAACAATGTCCTTGGAATAAAGTGTGATGTGGTAATTGTTGGGTCTGGTTGTGGGGGAGGAGTTGCAGCTGCTATTCTAGCAAGTTCAGGCTTCAAGGTGCTTGTTCTTGAGAAGGGTAACTACTATGCCTCCGGTGATTATTCTTCTCTAGAAGGGCCTTCTTTGAATGAGCTTTATGAATTAGGAGGAACTTTTGCATCCTGGGATGGAAAAATGGCGATTCTGGCAGGGTCAACAGTGGGTGGTGGATCTGCTGTTAATTGGGCGGCATCTATTAGAACACCAGAAAATGTGCTTAAGGAATGGGAAAAAGACCACAGATTATCAATCTTTTCGAGCCATGAATACCTTTCTGCCATGGACATGGTGTGCAAAAGGATTGGTGTAACCGACAAGTGTGTGGAGGAAGGGCTCCAGAATCAAGTTCTCAGAAAAGGTTGTAAGAATCTTGGTCTTCAAGTTGATTACGTGCCAAGAAACTCATCAGAACGACATTACTGTGGGTCTTGCAACTACGGTTGTACAAAAGGAGAAAAACAAGGAACAGAGGTTACATGGCTCGTCGATGCTGTGGATCATGATGCAGTGATACTAACAGGAACGAAAGCTGAAAGATTTATATTGGAAAACAACAAGGGAGGGAGAGCGAGAAGAAAGAAATGCTTAGGAGTGATGGCCAATGTTTTAACAAATAACGTAACTCGGAAACTGAAAATTGAGGCCAAAGTCACAGTTTCAGCCTGTGGGGCTCTTCTGACGCCACCTTTAATGATCTCCAGTGGATTGAAAAACAAGCACATTGGAAAGAATCTTCGCATGCATCCAGTGCTAATGTCGTGGGGGTATTTTCCAGACTCAAATTCTGATCTCAAGGGTAAATGCTATGAGGGGGGAATAATAACTTCAGTTCATAAGGTGGTATCCGAGGAGTCTAAAGTGAAAGCCATAGTTGAAACTCCAGCACTGGGGCCAGCAGCGTTATCTACACTGGTTCCTTGGGTGTCTGGACCTGACTTCAAAGAAAGAATGCTGAAATATTCAAGGACTGTTCATCTGATCACAATTATTAGGGACAAGGGCTGTGGAGTAGTTAGGAGTGAGGGTAGGGTGCACTATGAGTTAGATGAATCGGACAAAGAGAATATGAAGGATGGAGTGAAGCAGGCACTGAGAATTCTTATAGCAGCTGGAGCTGTTGAGGTAGGTACTCATAGAAGTGACGGACAGAGAATTGAATGTAATGGGAATAATGAAAAGGAATTGGAGAGGTTTGTGGAATCCATATATGCAACAGGAGGGTCAATGTCACAAGAAGAAAAATGGAGTATATATAGTTCAGCACACCAGATGGGGAGTTGCAGGATGGGGATCAGTGAAAAAGAAGGTGCAGTGGATGAAAATGGGATGAGTTGGGAAGCAGAAGGTCTGTTTGTGTGTGATGCAAGTTTGCTGCCAACTGCAATTGGTGTGAATCCCATGATAACCATACAATCTACTGCATATTGTGTTGCCAAGAAAATTGCAGCCTTTCTGGGAACAGGATAAAGTTTGTTTCTTTCTTCTTTTCTATACAACCTACCATGCACCTGCCAATGAGTAAATTATGGTGCCACAGCAAACTACAATAGTTCCGTAGCTTGTTTGGAAGTTTGAACAAACATGTCATTAGTTACACTATAACCATTTTCCAATTTTTTTTGAGTTTACGTTCTTGAATCACTTCTCATAATGTCACTCATTTGTTTCAGCTTGTCAATTTCAATGTGCAATTTGAAACAAGGAACTTTTCACATGGATACAAAGAGTTGGATATGCTTAATAACAGAGATACTCCTACCCTCTATATTTAGGATACTGGTTAAGAAATTAAAGATGTTTTTCTGTTGAAAATAATATAAAAACATTAAAAAATCATAAAACAATATGTATCTTTTACCTGTTTCGATAACAAAAAAATCTATTTTTAATTCCTTAATTAGAGTTTATAAGACACTGGTTCACCTTCACCATATCCAAAATGCAAGAAACTGGCCGACCCACATGTGCATGTATGTGGTCCGACACGTATCAGCCTCTTCTATTTCCTTTTTCTAACACCAATGAATCACAATTCGTAACGGTAATAACGGTTGCATCTTCTTCTCTACAATGAAACCTTCTTTCATTGTCTGCTTCTCTCGAAAACACCTTCTACTGACCATCCGTTTGTGCCTCTATCGGATACATCACATTCTTTTTGTGTTACAACATCAAACATATTCTACTTCAAATAAAGTTTGTTTCTTTAACATAGGGTTTGAAAAATAACAGAGAAGAAAAATTGATTTTGGGAAGCTCCCTATATCACCGAATTTTATTATTGTTAGACACAGGAAGAGAAGAGAGAATGAGATCTACGTGGTTCTTACATAATCTTTCCAAGTATGAATATTTTTTAATCTCTTATTTTATTGCTTTAATATGTATTTTAATCACTAATAGCTATTTACAGTTTCTGTTGCAAGGATTTTGAGGTTTCTGTGTTGTGGGGTTGATTGTATTTTGGTATGTTGACGTTGCCTCATGATTTTTCAGGGATTTGTGAGCTCTGCAGCTTTGAATACGGATAATTAGGTAAACAAATAAACCAGATGGAGATGAAAATGTCTAGCTTCTGGGGTCCGGTTACATCAACTACAGATTGCTGTGAAAAGAATTATGAATATTCATCTTATATTGCAGAATTTTATAACACAATATCCACCATTCCGACCATTCTTTTGGCTCTTGTCGGTCTTATAAATGCTTATAGAGAACGGTTTGAGAAAAGATTTTGTGTTCTTTATGTAACAATTATGGCACTTGCCATTGGAAGCATGTTGTACCATGCCACGCTACAGCGTATGTAAGTATTGAACTCTATCAATTCCTGCAGCAATTTATATAAGGTTCTGGTTGGTGATTTTTACTTTTTCATGTTGTCTGAGTTATTCTGCGTCATGCAAAATGAGTTTGGCATTTTGTATAAATGTTTGTTGAATATTTGAAGAATTCTTATTTAAGGTGATTGCAATGGCCACATCATATTCATACATTAGCCTCATATCAGGTCAAAATATTGATTTTGGTATAGATCAAAAAAATATTGACTTATTTTTCAACAATTGGCACTGCTTTTCCTGGCTCAGAAAGAAAAAAATTTATGCATTTTCTACCCTTTAATGAATAATATCCAATCTAATGCAGCTAGGGTATACCATGATGCAAGCAAGTCACAAATGCATTTAACTTCGCTGGCTAGTTTTTATGTCATTACATCCATGTTTTTCCTTGAATTTCTGTGTTTCCATATGTTAAATGGCATTATTTGATCTTATTTTTCAATTTGGGAGAAAGTATTTTCTTTTCAAGTGGATTAGGAGAGATCAATATGATGTCATACCATGAGTGTTTATTGTTGAACTGTTTCTTTCTCATCATTGAGAGTTGGAAAATTTTCTGAGACGGTAGCATGCTAATTAGCTTCTGGACATAGTTTTGGTGAAAAAAGTTTTAGAAATTTGAAGCAGGTTGTAAGTGAAGTTGTGTTGTTTGGTTTGGGATTTGTACTATACATGCTTAATATAGAAGGCCACTATGACGTATTGTTAATTTAGTGGTGACATAGGTTTGTTTTGTTTTGAGTGAGTATTTATTTATTGTCCAGTTATTGCACTTTGATTTAGGCAACAACAGAGCGATGAAACTCCTATGATGTGGGAGATTCTGCTATACATGTACGTCCTGTATTCCCCGGATTGGCACTATCCTCGTACAATGCCCATCTTCCTATTTTTGTATTGTGTTATCTTTGCCATTGTTCATTCAGTGGTCCGTTTTGGAATTGGCTTCAAAGTCCATTATATCATTCTCTGCCTCCTCTGCAGTCCAAGAATGTACAAGTATTACATTTATACTGATTATGTGTCTGCAAAGCGCCTGGGAAAGCTTTATGTAGTTACTCTTCTATTGGGAGGTTTGTGTTGGATATGCGATCATGTTTTCTGCAAGCAAATTTCTAGTTGGCCAATTAATCCACAAGGTCATGCTTTGTGGCATCTCTTCATGGGTTTCAATTCCTACTTTGCAAACACATTCTTGATGTTTTGTCGTGCTCAACAACTTGCCTGGTCTCCAAAAGTTGTCCATGTAATGGGTGTCTTGCCCTATGTCAAGATTGAGAAGCCAAAACACCAGTAAAAGAAAACAATACAAGATGAAAAGGTTTCAGTCATCATACATTGGGGTAAAGAGTAGTTAGGTATCAATGTTCTTGGCCTTTTTCTTGGTTTAGAGTGGTTTACATAATGATTTATTTGTTTTTCGATATTGTGTTTTACACCTAGGACATGTACCATATTTATGCACAACACTGGATGTTTGTTTAAGCCCGACAAAACTCCATTAATGACAACCAAAATTTTTGTAATATTGGTTGTTATTGGATTCAGTTGAATCATCCTACATATTTATGTAAAATTTTCTTTAACCCTTTCTGGGTGATTTAGTATGTTATTTTTGTGGAGCATTAAACGTCAAACTCAGTTTGATGCTGCTCTAAAACTCAATAGAATCCGTCTACTGATAAAGGTTTGAATAGTTGCTAAAAAGTCTTGAGTCTAAATATAGTTGCAACTAAACTAATGTTTTTAAAACTAGCCTGGTTTTTCAACTGGACAGGCTATTTTATTCATCGTTCAATAGTTCAACTGTGATTTACTCAAAACTAAATTATTTGTATTAATAAAATTATAATAATAATTGAATGATATTAAAAGTATAATGTCATAATTCTGTGATGTTGAAAACTAAATTAAAACATAAACTTATAGGTTTTTAACATTTAAAATAAATATAAAAACAAAAACAAAACATGTTATAATACTTCAATTAAAGTTTCAGAAATAGATATCAATAACGATAAGTTTATATGGAGAATAAAAAAACAAATATTTCACGTTTCTTAAGAAATTTTAAAATAATGAACTGTTAAATAATTTTATATTAAGTTGGTTTAGACCAATTTTACCTGAATCTCAACACCGAGGTTGACACCATTGCATTGCGTTTAAAGGTATAAATTTCTTTAATAAAGTAGGTTTAGGCATTTTAACGTTAACTTTTGTCTAGAGCCACTTCGTTAAGATTCTTTCCAAAGCTAGATGTTCATCCCCTGAAAAAGTGCATCGAAGTTCATATTCATTTTTATAGCAAGGAGTAGCATTCTAAATGCATGACTAGATAAATCATTTTTTGCACTCGATTAAAATAACTAGGGCATTTGATTTCCAATAATGTATTAAATTATAATAAGACCATGAAAAACATGTTCGCTATGGTCTGCTTTCTGTTGCAAGTGTAAACAAATGTCTGCAATTTGTAGTAACCTATATTATTCTGCGAAGCACAAGTTGTATTCTGGATCTTGATGTATATAAAACATGTTTTTCATTTGGAGAAAAATGATAGTTTTACATATAGAGAAATATTGCATTCTTTTGGGCTTGCTGGAATATAAGAGTCCTTCAATTTCTTATGATTGAATCATTATCTATTCATAAACTAAAGGAGGCTTTTGTTCCAATTGCAACAGTATCGACAGTTGAGTTACAAATTGAACTTCAAACATACCAGAAAATCAACCAAAATTTGCACTTGTTAAGGAATCTGAGGCATGCCAAAACCACAGTAACTGTCAACAAAATAAAAACGAAAGTGTACCATAGAAATGGAAAAAAACAAACAAATATATCATATATATCATCATATAATTGGTGCAGCATTTGATAGTTGAACAAAAATATTTGTCGATCGCACTAAAATATATTATCAAACGTGATTCAAACTACATTTAAGGTATTAGAAAAATATTAACACACCTCACCAGGAATTAAATACAGCACAGGCGTTCATTTTCAGCCAACATGTGAATTATTTATATTGAAGATCATGAGTGAACGGTAGGTGTTCATGCAAAGCCATCAATTAACTATTCAACTATAGCCAGAAAAACAGAATGGAACTAACGGTAAACATACACTATGCACATCTTGACAGCTTCCGGACCTTTGATTAGTTTCACTCAAAAGATAGAAAACGCTTGTACAGATGTATGTAAAGGAATACAATAGAAGGTGAGAACAAATACACCTCGCCATGAATCTAAGAGTTCCTTGGAATCCCCTGTTGTAAAATTTCTCCAAGCCTCAAATATAGAGCTTCTTGTTCATTGAATGATAGGTTGATTAATATCTGAAACGCCCAGCGGTAGATCCACAACTTAAGCATCTTAAAATGTTATTGGATAGAAATATGAAATATAAATTGTAAAATAAAGATAATACCTGGTCCAAAATCATTTCAACCGAGAGACTTTGTTGCACAACAAATGACTGATGATATATATATGCAAACACGGCCATAACCATCTACAGCAAGACAAATTAGTCAAATTTTGCTCGTCATATGCATAATAGCTTGGTACTAGGAAGCTTTTGACTTCCAATGCTAGCCCCTCAGCCAATGGAATGAACAGGACTAAAGATACAAATAGAGTCAGGCAGCAGAATGTAAAAGAGAGTGAAAAGTTAGTGAGTTGTTAGGGAGGGGCAAATTTTGGTCTGTTACGATTATTCGAATGGCATCAAAATTATAAATGGACAAACAGTTTCGCATAAAATACCTATAACTACTTTCACAGATATATTAAATCAGGCCAGGGTCTAAACAGTATGTAGTTGACATTCATACTAGACTGGACCACCAAGACTTCTACCGATTACTCGTCTTGATTGGTCACTAAAGATTCCTTCTTGTTGAGTTCATTGAACTTCACACTTGAATTAATTTTGTTAGAGGAGGAAATTTCATAATTTTTAAAACATCTAAATACATTCGTTTCAAATTGTACAAGACAATTAAAATTTATTAAATTTTAAATTTCTTATTTTAGATTATTATTTCAATTACCACCATATGTAAAAAATTATTTAAATATTAAACAATTGATAATAATTCAAAAATATCAATATTTGTGATTTTTTTAACTACATGGTTGATGTATATCTTAGTCAAAGTTTGTTAATGATTTTTTTAACTGCTCAAATAATTATTAAATAATGTTTTACAAAAAGTAAAAATTAAAGTAAAAGAACATTATAGTATCAAGAATTCAAAATAGAAAAACACATTTTCTTTTCTTCAACACCAAATAATATATAATTGCATAAAATTTTAAAATATAGTACCAAATAAACTAAAAATATCTTAATAATTTAAAATGGAAACAATATAATATATAAATAAATATATATATGTGTGTGTATATATGTGTGTGTGTGTGTGTATATATATATATATATAGACACTTATACTCATCCCAGTCCTGGATTCAAAAGGTTGGGTATTGTCAACCCAGGTATATTTCCTGAGAGAGAGATATTAAGGTACGAGTTTATTTGTCATCGTGGAAAAAAAAAAACACATTAGTTTTTGTAATATGAAGATCAAAAGTTGAGCACAAAGACAAAAAAACATACAATTTTCTAGATTGAAACATAAAGATAGTCTACCTGGCAATCCATTCTGTCAGTAATTCCACCATGTCCAGGAATACTATCACCAAAATCCTGCAAATTTGAGAACACACGGCAAGTTTGTTTATGCTTTGATCAAAATGGCTGACATTTGCGGTGTTCCATATTAGAAAAACAATTGCATACCTTTATTTTGAAAGCCCTTTTAAAACCACTTGCAAAGAAACCTCCAAAAGGTGCAATAATCGAAGCAAACAAGCCAAGACATAAAGCATGCCATTGAACAGGTAGGATTGATACCTCCTTCCAAGGAAACTGTATAGAACAACATGTCGCAAGTTATATTTTCAGATGTTCCAAGAACCTGGATTGGCAACTCATGATTACAGAATAGTCACATTTTATAAGCTGAAATGTAAAGTGGAAATAGAAAATCTAACAGAGTGGTCGTTAGAAAATTTAGTTTTCTAATCCTATTAAGAATAGATATGTTTTGTAGTGGCAACTACTGGTGTGTTTGGATAAACAACTTAAGTGCACGCCTATTGAATGAGTGCTGATTACATGATAAGCTCAAGGGCCTGTTTGGCTGGAATATTCCTAAAGTACTTTTAAGAAAAAAATAAGAAAAATTAATTCAGGTTCTCCATAAATTAAGACTAGATTATGCATAAACTAATTTATAAAAATTCTCGTTTAACTTATCCAAAAAATTAGAATTTGAACTTATGTTAAGCTAGTTTTTACCTATGAAATACTTTATTTCATATTCTTCTTACTTTCTTCTTCTAAGAGTACTTTTAGAGAAGCATACCCAAACAGGCCTTAAGGACTATACTGAAATCAAAGAGGAAGAGAGCACTCAAGCTCATTTAGGGTGTTTCATAATCTATACAGAATAGTCACATTTTATATGCTGAAATGTAAAGTGGAAATAGAAAATCTAACAGAGTGGTCGTTAGAAAATTTAGTTTTCTAGAATAGATATGTTTTGTGGTGGCAACTACTGGTGTGTTTGGATAAACAACTTAACTGCACGCCTATTGAATGAGTGCTGATTACATGATAAGCTCAAGGGCCTGTTTGGCTGGAATATTCCTAAAGAACTTTTAAGAAAAAAATTAGAAAAATTAATTCAGGTTCTCCATAAATTAAGACTAGATTATGCATAAACTAATTTATAAAAATTCTCGTTTAACTTATCCAAAAAATTAGAATTTGAACTTATGTTAAGCTAGTTTTTACCTATGAAATACTTTATTTCATATTCTTCTTACTTTCTTCTTCTAAGAGTACTTTTAGAGAAGCATACCCAAACAGGCCTTAAGGACTATACTGAAATCAAAGAGGAAGAGAGCACTCAAGCTCATTTAGGGTGTTTCATAATCTATACAGAATAGTCACATTTTATATGCTGAAATGTAAAGTGGAAATAGAAAATCTAACAGAGTGGTCGTTAGAAAATTTAGTTTTCTAGAATAGATATGTTTTGTGGTGGCAACTACTGGTGTGTTTGGATAAACAACTTAACTGCACGCCTATTGAATGAGTGCTGATTACATGATAAGCTCAAGGGCCTGTTTGGCTGGAATATTCCTAAAGAACTTTTAAGAAAAAAATAAGAAAAATTAATTCAGGTTCTCCATAAATTAAGACTAGATTATG